TTTGCACAGCTGAAGTTGGTAGGAGAAGATGGCTCAGAGACATATTTCTGCTCCCCCACTCCTGAATTGGCTAGAAACCAAAAAAGCCCCCATGACTATATTAGAACTGCCTTGTTACTAGTCTAAGTAGCATGGGCTACCTAGTCCTAGTAGGAGCATTGTACAGGATTAAAATGTGATGAAGTGGAATACTCCCTGCTTTAACTCAGAGCTGCCTCTATAGCTCTTGGGGATTTGACTACACCCACAGTGAAAGATTCTTCACTGACATCATGGGTCACCTTTCTGACTGCCTTGTCAGCAGTGTAAAACATCTAGAGCATGGGCCACTGGTCTGGTCTCTATAGCTCACCTATACTACTTGCACACACCAGCTACCACAACTTTTCCCGTTCAAACTTATGTGACTTAAGCATGTGGCACAGCACTCAGTGAGGCTGAAAGGTATGTCATAAACTGCTTCTTCAGCTAGCTATCTGACACCATGCCAGATCTGTCATGACTTCTGTTAGCCTAAGAAGTACACCACATAGCAGCACTATTTCTCTCTTGGGTAAACATCACCCACTCATTAATGTTCATTCATATATGGTGTTCTAAGCAATTTAATAACACCAAATAATAATCTGCTACAGCACCTTTCACCAATAAATCACAGAATTCAACAGTATGAATGGGAAAGCTCAGAGGGATTAAATTATATCTCCAAGATTATCCAGTGTAATAGCCAGGAACAAAACTTACATTTACTGAATAAATTCAGTCCACTGTTCCCTGTTAGGCACACTCTTGCTCTGCTTCTGTTCATTTGTACTTTGATAACTTATTAAGGAGAAAACCCTCTTCCTACTCATGAATCACAAACAGAAGCTCATGATTTCAACAGATTTTATAACCTCTTCTCCCCTCAGTAGTGGTATGGCTGGATTTCATACAGATAGGACATTGTAATCTCCCCAATTCTGATAACAGAGCAGTTACTTTCACAGACCTGGATCTCATGATACTGCGCCAGTTATATTCCTCTGTATGGGGAAGCACGTCTATTATGCCTGTTACCCCAAATCTTCAAAAGAATTTTTTTTCCCTAACCAAAACCCAAGCTTTGTATAATAGGACATTCAGGGAAGACTCTATTTTGCTACCATTAATAAATTACTTAATGCCTCTATTCTTAGCAGTGAAACAGGCATCTTTTCTCTCTACAGACACTGTGAAGTCTTCAGCGTAAGAATTGCTTTTTATGAAGTTACTACACAGCTGCATTGTACAAAACCAGCCCAGTTTCAGGTTCTAGAATTGTTTCAGTCAGTGACTAATCTGTTACATGTAGATGTATATGTCTGTTGGATGTGCACATAAACCCTGGCACTTTGTGCTATTCCCTTCACCTGGCATAGGTTCACAAGCTACATTAAGGCACACTTCTGAAATCTCACTTCTTTCAATTTGTTTCCCATCACTGATATCAGGCCTACTATTAATATGGCTTCCATTTAACACATTTAAAATAAAAAGACCCAGAAACCAAAATCTACAGCAGGTCAGCACCATGAATTTTGCAGAATCTTTGTGCATATGTTCTACAAAGAACAATTTCTCTTTCACTTTGTTTTCTGTCTGAGTGCCTTTACTTATTTGCAGAGAACTCAATTCTGGATCTGTTATTTATGCGAACAGTCCTGTTTTATTTAGATAAGTCTTTCATGACTAAAGATACAGAGGTTCATTTTTATACCTTGAGGACAGATTCTACAGCTTTTGTTCCAATGGAACTTCTCTTGAAGTTCATGGGATGGCCAAGGAGAATAAAGATTTCCTGAATCTTATTTTCCCTGTGCACTCCAAACAAGGATCTGAAACCATTCTAGCAAGCTTCCTATTAGTGGGACCCCTGTGGCCTTCAGTGAGCCTCTAAATAGAAAAGACTTACGGTTTTATTCCCCTTGACTTTTATTTTTATACAAAGTACTGTGTACTCTCAGGCTGCTATAAACACATACAAAAAAACACTGGTTCCACTTAAACTCTGGCAGACAGACTGATATCAGGCTGTTATCAGTACAATAAAATTACAAAACTATTCTGAGCCTGATCCAAGATCCAGCAGCACCTGTGGCAATGCTTCCATTCACTTAACTATGTTTTGTATCAAGATAGAAGGCTATAGAGATACTAGTAATGTAAATGTCTGTACAATCTGGTACTGTGGGAGCACACTTTTGTGAGTCTCCTGGTAACACGAGGTGTCCTCCTTGACTGGAAAGTAATGCTAGTGAGCTATTGCTTTTCTACTCGCTTGTATTCTTGTTTGAGGAAACAGTGAGTATTGTCACTGTAGCTTTGGTTTTCCCTTGTCTGTATTTATTGTCATTTCTTTAAGCTCTTTAGGCTAGTGAGCTAGCACTATGGTCATCAGAGGGTAGTTAAGGGAATAAAAAGTTTCTCATACAGTGTCCATGTTCTTTGTCTTAATGTATTTTTTTAAACTGCCCTACTACTGAAACAGTATACTTGCCATATTTGACCAAAAGTTTGAGTAATGCTCTTAGTTGTGCTAGATTTAAAAAAAAAAAAATTACTATGAAGCTGTAGCATAAGTAATTGGCTCAAATCAATCTGAGTAAGAACCAGAAGGTTTTTGGAATGATTTGGAAGTGGGGCATTTTGGTCATTTGTTAAATGTTTTAATTCTTCATCTCTCATATTTTACATCAAGCCTATCACCATGGCATCAAAGTACTTCAGAAATTTAGCGAGTATCAAATCATGCATATTGCTGATAACCCACTGGTTTCAAATGAAGCAAATTTATACCAATTCCTAATTTTCTCTGACACCATGATAAGTCCAAAAGTGAGATGCTTTGTCCTGTGTTCCTTCTGTCACAGAACATTTGCTAACTTCAGGAGAAAGTTAGAGAAATACAGGTTTGAGGTCAAACTGGTATCATATGACTTTGCTAATTCAAGATGCTTGACAAGTGAAAGAACTTAAAGGTCTTGGCATATTTTGCTTGGTGCACTTCTAAGTCTGCACGTATGCAGACTACTTCTCTCAGTACATAACAGATCTTAACATCACAAATACAAAAATTAATAAAATAGAAAATATCTTGGCAGGTGTTATGAATGTATCCCTTCTGATTTTCTTAAGGTAAAAGCGCAGCAGGATATGCCTAATCTGCAATATTTTCACTCTCATTTCACAAATTTGTCACTGATGGATACTCTGAGGAGAGGAAGCACAGCGTTTTAATATTCTCCTAACCTGTATGCAGCGTTGGAATGAAACTGTCGTTGATAAGAAAGCCTTCCCCATAAAATGACATTGCAGTGCGTGCAGCATTGCACAAGCAGAAAGACAAAGGCGGTTAAACAACAAAAATGTACTAACAGTGAATTGAAATAGAAGAGGAATATTTAAAGAGCTCCTCTCACCTATTTTCCCTGTCTAAAGACAATTTCCATTGAAAAACAGCTTTGAAAGGAACTGGCTGTGCTTGTACATTTCTCCTTGCAATACTGCCTAGGATACTGGGACCTTTAATGCAATATGTGCTGTCAGTACTACAACAGTTTACAGATGTGCAGCCAGACTTCTATTTATAGATGCCTCTTCTGCACAGTACTCTATGGGGTTGTAAGGCAGTAGCAGGCATGTTCTTTGATTTAGTGCTTACATCACATTCATTTAAGTAAATTCTGCTCTTCACCTGGCATGGCAAAGGAGGCATATTTATGAAGGTCAAGCAGAGAGAGCACTATTAGGAAGAGAAATGTGGAATTCATGAGGGAGTAGGACACCTACTGGGAGAACTATCTGAAAGGAGGAGACATTTGGCAGAGGCATTGAAAGAATAAAGGAAGCAATAGTCATGTGCTCCTCACACTGAAGTGGTGCTTTTGTTCTTTATTACCTCTGCAGGGCAACTGGGGAGGAGGATCAGTGTCGCCCGTGCATGGAAGGGCAAAGCCGTTGAAATTGTTTGGGGTGCAGTGTCCTTGGGGGTCTGTACATGGCTGTGCTGCATATCGCTTAACCATGTGTTAAGTGTTCAGTCAGAGTGCTAGGCACAGTCTATTAATAGAAACAGGGAGTTTGGCACACACTCGCACTTTCGCCTGTCTCCTCCTCACATGCTCCCAGAGAAGCTGGGACTGCATCCTTCTGCTTTTCCAGATCTGAGACTTCGCACACTGCTGTATCCTTTGAGACGTCTCAGTGAGGTCAAGAGAGCCCTAGACAAGTAAAAAAGGGCTGCTCAACCCCAGTGTTGCCGAGATGGGAAAGGCTGAGGAATCCGAAGGTAATTGGCGGGGAGGGGGGGGGGCGGATTTCTTGCACAAAACTCGAGGGCTCGCAGGGTACCCTCTCGGCCCGAAGGCAATGCAAAGCTATTCTCGGCACTGCTCTGGCCAGCCGGGCGCAAGGGAGAATGCTCCTCCTGCCCTCCGCCCCCGCCTCGGGCAGCTCCACTTGGTAATATCCAGAACGCTGCAGAGACACGGGCACTCCTGAAGTCTCCCAAACAATCCTAGCAAAGGCTCCACGGCGTTCTGCCAGGCGAAAAGCACTCAGAGCTGGCCAAGGTGCTGTCGCAAGAGACTGTCTTTGTCCCTTTCAGCCTCCTCAAAGACAAAATAACCGTCCCCCTCCCTTACTGCCGCAGACACCCTCCTCTCCACCCAGTCCCCCGTACCCCGCACGGAGCCTCACCTCCGCCCGGCCCGCGCCGGCCCAACCCAACTTCTCGGGGAACCAGCCGTAAAGCGGCGGCTTCCGGGAAGCAGCCCGAGCGACAGGAGGGTTCAGCGGGGTGCAAAGTTCTCTGCCTAAGGGGAACGGGGGGGGCGCATACAGGAAATCATAGCAGCAACGGAGGCAGGGGCTAGCCGAAGGAGCCAGGAAAGTTCATCTGCACTTACTGCTGCTTCTGCTAAGGGATCTATGCTCGGGGCTGGGGGAGCTCGGGCGCCGGCACTGCCTCGCATCCTTACCTCGGTGCTGTCGGCAGCGTTCTCCGCCATTTTCCTCCTCAGGAGCAGGCAGCGGGAGGAGTGTTTCATTCCCATAAGAGCTAGCCAAGGGGTTGGGGCTTCGGGGTTGTTTTGTGTTTTCAAGGATCTCCAAACACTGGTGTGCGCCAAAGGATAGGGAGGAAAAAAATATGGAAAACAGCAATAAATCAGACAGCTTTGTCCTTTCTGCGTCGTCCACGGGAATGTTTGTCTCCTCTTAGCATCGGGAGCTCCTCGGGCACTTTCAAGTCCTCCTCTTTCTCCCCTCTCCTCCACCTCCAGCGAGCTCTTGGGATGGGCAGAGAGAGGCGGCACACACTCTTCAGGTTAAACTAAAAGGCTGTTGGGCTGTGAGTCCTCCCCTTCAGAGAAAGCAGTCGGGCTAAACAGGAGAGAAGCACCAGCTAAACTGAACTTGGGCGTGCAATGACCAGCTGGGCATCTTTGTGTCCTGTGGCTACTCTTCCAGAGGCAGAGGGAGCCAGAGACAAAACAACAGGACAAGGAAATCATAGCCCTTTATTTTCCTTCTTTGGGCTTCTTTCTTTCTCTCTAGGTCCCAGGAAACTTCCTTTAAAGATGGTCACAGAATTTGCCTCCCTCTTTCTAGGAATGTCTTCTGAAACAGCAATCCCTCCTCCTCCCCCCTCCCCTCTCCCCCTACCCCTTCTGCTCTCGGGCAGAGCTTGGTGCCCTTCTCTGGGAATTGCATTCACGTGTCTTTCGTAGAAAAAACCATTATATCGAGCTCCCCCCACCCGTCGCCTACACCCTCTCACACACAAGCACGCATTCACACGTATGCACACACACGTCTCCCTCTCATACAGACATGCACAATTTTTTTTCTTCCCCATCCCTCCTCTTCTTTTGAATCAGCAACACTTCTTTGCAAGGACTCTCGGCAAGGCTCTTAGAGGGCAACCGAAGAAGCCTGCTCCAGCTTCTTTCCTCCAAGTTAAGTAGCAAACCTGCTTTCTTAATATATCTTCCCGCGTGTGTGCTCCCAGCTTCTGTTTTAGATGAAGTTTTTCAGCAAGATCCACACTCCGTCAGATACCCGTGAACTGTAGAAATATAGTCCCGATCCGGATGCAGCTCCTGCTGAAAAGGAGGGGGGGGGGCGGAGGGAGAGGTCTTGCTAGGGAGGGAAGGGGCTAAAGGTGTTTTGAACTTCTTTTTAGCCTTTTCCCAATAACATCTTCCTCTGTGGGAGTGCATTGCCACCTTCCCCACACGTTTATCTTGCTTTCACTCCTCCGGGAACTTTATAGTTCTGAGTTGTCAGCTGGGAGGATTAGGTTTACCTCACTCGTGTTGCTGTGGGTAAGGGCGGGAGAGGGGGCGTATTACATAATTAATCCTTCCAACTTCACTTTCCGCAGCTCCATCTCCAGCCCACTGTTATCACGTTTTGGTTTTGTTTTTATACGGAGGAGGTGAGAAAATAATGCTGGTGTGTGGGTGTGTGTTGCTCGAAGGATTTCAAGGACCAGAACAGGATTGCTGCTCTCTGAACAGTTTGAAATAATTTCCTCTGGGGGTGCCAATGGAGACCTGAAGAAGAGGTTTGAAAGATTACTTTTGATGCATATTTTAAGCACATAGCCAGCTCAGATGCTACAACAGTAACAGATTATGATAGATCTGGGGTTTTGAATTTTAGCCTATTTTAATGTCTTTTAATTAAGAGTTTATCCTCAGCTGACCTCTGGAATACTGACATACCATGAAGTACTGCCAAAACAACAGGAGGTCCCTGGGTACACAGAAGGCTGAAATATTCCTGGGGGTGGGGGAATGGAGATAGAGAATGTGAATTAAAGAGCAGAGAGCAAAATTATTCTCCTACCCCTTGGGGATGAGGAGGTGGGGCCAAGAAAATTAAATAAGCAAATTTCTCCCTTTTACTTGAATGACCCTCACAAATTCTTGTTCAGACACAGATCAGTAGGTATGCAATAGATTTCAGGGATTTGTAATAAATCACGTAGAAGTAAGCAACCCAGGGAAGCAGAAGGTGTGTGGTATGCTGAAATGTCAAGTGACAATGAGAGTGTGCCATGTAGGGTACAATGGTACCATATGAAAAGGTTTCAGAATTTGAGAGTATGTTATAGACACACATGCCATACAGCTTGAGACTGGACCTCTGTGAGATACTTTGCAGAGCCGTTTGATCATTCAGTTTTTCACGAGCCTCTGATTTCATGCTACTCCTTTCAGCTCACATTTATTCTAACACCTCAAGTTCTTTCATTACCTCCACACTACTGCTAATTTTTTCAATAATCATCCACACCCCCTTTGTTTATAAAGTAGAATTTTATTTCACACCTTCTAGGCGTGAGGCTTAAATGATGGAAGTGGAAGCAGGCCATTCCCCCTTTTCTCTGGGACATTCATAGAGCTCTTGAAGGTCTTAAAACCCTTCAAACATGAAAACCCTTATAGCCATTGCCGATAGAAGCTATTTTAGAGTATTCCAAAGCTACCCTCACAGTCTTGGGCTACTTTCTCATTAAGTACTTCGATTTCTAGGTGGAGAGATAAGGAAAAAAAAAATCTGCAAATAAAAATTTAATGTCTCTGCAATCTTTGTCACAATGTTTTTCTCTGCTATGTCATGAATATCTGGTGGTTAGTGAGGGCATGAAGTTTTAGTCAGTGTGCATTTACCTACATAGTTTTAGTGTGTCTTCTCTATTTTCAGGTGATACACACAGCTAAACTTAGCCCAATTAAATCTTTTAAAATAAACCAGTGTTCTATATAGAGAAAAAGAATTAGATTTTTCAAAACTACTCCAGGACATATTTTCCAGTTTTCTCTGACAGCTGGGTCTGTATTTCTGGTACAGCTCAATCACTCTTTAGTCAGCTAAATGAGGCATCAGATTTTCAAAAGCACTCAGCAACTGGCAAAACTGGCAGGCAGAGATTTAATATATCCTTCCTTCCTCTGCTTCAGATACGGCATGACTTGCCCTGGCACCTATTCTTATCCTCCTCCACCTCTTTGTCAACACAGATGATACCTGACTGCTCATCCTTTAACGTGGTGCTGATGCTTTACGGATACTAGGAAAACCTTCCAGTCTTATGGTTTCCAGCATAAGGATGAATGTTTTGGTCCTGAACTCCTTTGGAAATCTGCCAGATGGTTGGTGTCCTCACTCCTCCTTTTATGTTCTATATGTGATTGAGGAAACTGCTTTGAAAACACACACCATTTGCTCTAATCTGTTTTATTCCAAAGGGAAAATTATTTGTCCTTCAGGACTTTTTTTAATCAGTCATGGGTAGAAGTTACTCCTTTCAAGAATCAATTCGCAATATCAGTTAAGAGGCTGAAAGCAGCGTGTTTACACATACAGATGTCTGTGTGCACACAGATACTTGGCGAGTCCTTCAGTTTGAATATGGGCCTCAGTGCAAGTTCCTGTTGATAGTGAAATTCACAGGAACACTGAACTTGAGGAATATGAGCTTTCATACTGTTTAGGGGACAAATTCTGCCCTCAGACATGTGAATACAAATCCTGCTGACATCTGTGGTTACGTAAGGGTGATAGTTGGCAATTGGAACTGAGATTGGGAACATATTTCTGATCCCCTGTTTTGTTATAGCTCAAGAAAAAGAGTACTGTAATGAAGAAAATGCCATGGCAGTAAAAGTGCGTTTGTAACAAAGCCAGGAGATGTCAAAAGCACCTTCTGAATTTAAATATGTCATGCATAAGTACATGTGAAGGTCACAAAGTATTACAAATGGAGTGGGGCGGTGCTGAAGAGAAAACGGAAAGGGAAGCATTTATTACTTCAGATTTCCAATAATAGCAGCTGTGGTTGAGGCTGCTTAGCTACTTGCTGAGTGTGGCAATAATACTGTGCTGGCCCTCAGAAGATTCAGACTTATTGCCAGCTTTGTGATTAGCTTGGATGAAATCCAAATGTCTGCATTTGAGGTGGCATAATCCTGTGCATCGGTACAGACTTGAGAAATTGCATACCAATCCTGATGGAAAGCATCTGGGGGTTATGGGGTAGGGGTGGAGCTAGGTTGAATATGACTCATCATGCTTTCTCACTGCATAAAAGGCAAACTGTAATTATCTACATTAAATGGAAAGTGGCCAGTATCATACTTCTCTCGCTCTACTTGGCACTGGTGAGACTGCATCTTTGATTCTGTGTCCAGTGCTGGGTCCCCTGGTTCAGGAGGGAAGTGGATACGTTGGACATGGTTCAGTGAAAGACCACTATGATGGTCTCTTAGGGCACTAACCTCCGAGGAGGGTTGGGCTTGTTGGGTTTGGTGAAGACGAGGTCAAGGGGCACCCAGTAGTGGCTTATGACTAGCTTTAAGGATTGTAACTAAGATGAGCCAAACTCCTCTTGGTACAGCCAGATGATATGAAAAAGGGCAACAGCTGCAAGTTGTGGCTTGGCAAGTTCAGATTCAATATTAGCAAAAGAAGTGTCCCTCCACATAAAAAAGCCTAACCTTTCTTTGTGCTTTATACATTAAGGAAAGCCTTTTTTTTTCAATTGCACATCTGTGCCTGAAGACAACATCAGTGAAATACGGGATCTGCTAAAGATAAAGCTAAGGACACACATGAACAGGAGAACATCTTTTTCCTCTGATAAAAACTTTCTCCCCAAAATAATTTTTTGGGGAAGAAGATGGAATGAAGTTGCTGCTGTGATGATTCCAACTGAAATAGGTAAGAATTACTTCAAACATTGACAATTTGGCATCATTTCAAGTAGGAGGCAATAGCAGTGCTCCAGTTGAACAATGGACGGGCAATATAAGGATGAATAAGGAGAGGAAGAGAAAATATGAATAAGGAAGGAGGTCAGGTGGAGGACTGGCAGAAGAGGACTGGCAGAGAAGGTGAAAAAATGTGTAGCAAAGTTCTGCATGGGGAAGCACAGGGTAGCCATGGTAGGCAAAGAAAAGCAGCGATGAAAAGGCTGAAGACAGGAGAAGGTAAAATAGAATAGCACTTTTTGTCACAGATAATATTCAGATGGCCTGGATCAATG